ATCAACCGCCGCCCGAGTCAGGGTTACTGCCGCAGATAAGCGAGTGTGCGCACAGCATTCATAAATAGCCACGCGATAAAGCGTAGTACGTTCAACAAAGACAAGGTTGAAAACCGCCTATAGGTAAGGCGTGCGCTGTTTGAACTACTGACTCTTATTTACCCTATATGCCCATTTTTGCGCTACATTGCGACGCTACAGACATGTGACCAATATATATTATGCTGTAATGCGAGTTGATATTGATATGATGTTAAATATATATGATAAGTTGCATTCTCTTTCATCAATAAATTCTATGTGACACTCGTAATCCCGTTTTATCTAGGTCCCTTGATAAGCTCTGCTCAAACGCATTGCTTGTTTAAACAAATCCGTATTGAAATTCTGGTACAAATGGTAGTAAAGACATATTTAAAAATTGCACCACCTATTACTCCTCTTATCTGAGTTGAACAATGTCTAACTGTAAAAAAAGTGCTAAGTCAGCGTGAATGTTGACCCTCTGGGTTTGTGCTATTTGCAAATAACTAGGTAGCCCTGTAGTAGGCCAAACAGGCACATTCCCGCTCTTCTTCTCGGGTCACTACACTACACTCGACCTACCCACTGCACCACACAAGACCTGGCACGGTGGTTGAAAGCCTCAAGGTCTCCAGGGATACAGGGCTCTGGTACTAGGGGGCATTTCAGGAAATGTCCCATAGTCTGGTCCTCCCCGCAGTCGCATTCGGTTGGGCCATCTTCAACGTATTTCTGCATGAGTGCCCTGCATCGACCAAACCCTGTCTTGGGGCGATTTAGGCATAGTCACGTCGGCCATGCCTCGTTGGCTCCGGGTGGTAGGGATTCCTGGGGTCTGAGTAAAAGCTTATGTTGGCTTGCCTGAAGATGCTTTGACCATTGGGCGATCCTGTAGTTTTGGAGGTTGCCATCCAGGGGTTGAACCGCGGGGATGAACCTGTGCCTAGACTTTAGTATCTTCTTTACTGTTTCATGATGAAAGAGGGGGTGACGATGGTCATTTTTTGGTTATGTTTCTCTACTTGGGATGAAGCCATTCGTCTAACGTGTGAAGGAGCAATGTCACAGAGCAGGTAGAGGTCAGCTACGTTGGTTGGTCTCAAGCATCCACAAATGGCTCTGCAGGCAGTGTTCAGAACTGGGTAACTTTTTGCAACATGGGGCGACCTACTCCAGACAGGGCACGCATACTTAGCCGCAGAGTAGCACAAGGCGATAGCTGTGGTTTTGATTGTCCCGGCGTCTGTTCCCCATTTAGTAGTGGCCAACTTCTTTTGAATACTGTTTCTGGCACCCACGTTGGCGTTTGTCTTGATGATGTGATCCTTGTAGGTTAGAGAGCGGTCTAAAGTAACACCTAGGTAGACTGGTATGTGTCAACCATTTATCATACCATTTGACTTTCAGTTGGCGGTTCGCCTCCTTTTTCTTTAGATGGAAGGCACCTATTTGTGTTTTCCCGGGATTGGCTCGTAGATGGTTTACTGTGTAGTAGGTGGTTCGGCCTGCGAGAGCATTAGTGATAGACCGTTCGGCTTCGTCAAAGAACTGTTTTTGTGATGCAATGCAGAGGTCATCTGCATAAAGGAAACTCCTGGTGTTTGTGTGTACTGGCTGGTAATTTGTGTATAGATTAAAGAGCAGAGGGGCCAGGACGCTTCCTTGTGAGAGCCAATTTTTTCTGTCTACGCCATCTGCTGCGGTTACAATTGAGATCCACGAAAAACCGCCTGTTTGCCAACAGGTTCTTGATTAGTTCTACTAGTCTCACATCCTTTACTAGCTGGTATAATTTTTTGGTTAGAATTCGATGGTTGCCTGTGTCGTAGGCTGCGTAGAGGTCAAGAAACGATACTCCAGTAATTAACCCTTTCTCATACCAGTCTTCGATGAACTGGGTAAGGTTAAGAAGTTGTCTTGTACAGGATTTTTCTGATCTAAAGCCTACCTGCTCTGGAATGAGGTGTTTATTCACGTAAGAGGTCAAACGGTTGAGAATAAGTCTTTCGAAGAGCTTGTAGAACATTCCCGCTGATATTACGCTTGTGCGCAGAGAAGATGTGCAGCGCGGGCAAGAGAGTTATGAGACGTGCAATTAGAATTCATTATATACTAATATTATTCTACTGAGTTTCAGACAAAGCAGAGTCTTTGACTGAGGAGGCATTTGTTCCCCATGCCCCTCCCCCCTGGTGCCGTCACCACAGACTAACGGATACACAGACTGGACGCAACGCCAACTTAGTGTTATGGATTTGAATGTTGGCGCCGCCTAGCGAATGAAGCGGTACACTAAAAATCTGGCTGTGGTGACACACCGTGGATGTGTAACGTTGTAGCATTAAAACGTCTCTATCGTTAATTATAATATTTGGACTGGAGTTTAATTATACATTCCTGAATCTAGAAGGTCAAATGTTAGTCTTCAAGTAAATTTTGCTTTATTAAACGGCTGTACATTTATTTTTACATGCAAAACGATCATTCACACTATATCACAGACTAATAATACACAATACACGCATAACATCACAATGGGTAATGTGCACACGGTATACTGTGCTACAGTCTGTAGTTTAATTTATTCCTCAGTCTGTGACGGGATTTTGTGAGATGTTTGTTTTTTCTACAAACAATAATAATAATAAAGACGATATAATTTCCATATTTTTTACTCAAATACCATTAATCACATTTATTGCTAAGAAGCTTAATTACAAGTGTTGGAGCTTCAGCAATTTACGATTCTGCTTGTTTCTAGGTTCGGAGTGCAGGAGGGTTACTGACTTCTATCAGAGATTGGAACTGCATCCTTTCTTAGCCTTTTAATATTTTTGGACTTGCCCTTGTGTTTTTAATAAAGGTGGAAGGGATCGGGTAAAGAAATTATGGAAAATAAGGTAAAATACAGACAGTTTGAATTTCTTATTAGCAAAATTATTCAGCATTTGTTGGTTTAGTTTTGATATTGCCATAAGCAATAATGATATACTTCAGTGCCCAGCAGTGATTATTTCTCAACCATATTTTTCTGTTTATGTATATTTCATGAAATCAAGCCTGGTACATGTATAACGACCCATGAGTCACACGACGAGAAGCAGAGAAAGCAAAGTATTTTACTAAATTCCCATACTAATAATAGTTATATTTTTAAATAGGTACAGCAGATCACATTTCAAAGCAGCCAGTGATTTTAACTCTTGTCAGGTGGACACATAAATTGAGATACCTCAAAATGATTCTCGCAAATTAGCAGATATTTGCATTGGCTGTCTTTTAACCCATCAATGTCGACTCTTCTTATGTTGCAGATCCACTTCCGAAGTCTATGTACATGATCATCTACATGTGTCATGTGATGTGGTGTATTATTTACAAATTGCATATCGTTTTAACTGGTATTTTTCACAGAACAAAGGGCAGCAAAATTACACAGATCCCCGAACCAAGTAATGTTTTCCCTAACTTTTAACTGTTAGCTTCACAAGATTGTATCTTGTAACAGTTTACATTGATATTATGATTACATATAATTAAACAATCAATAAGTACAGTCTCTGTTCGTGTGCACAGCAGTCAGTGAGTCACTGCATCTGTCATTGCCGTTCTAACGAATTTATTATTTTCAAACGTATATAACATGCAATACGTGATAAATCTAGTACCTATCATGCTCTGTGAAAAACTTGAAAAACGCTATATCTGGGAATATATCTAGAATATATTATGCAAATGATTCCCGTATCGGCTTGAATATAGACACCCCCATACTCTCTGTGAATATTGAGTTTATTGACGCACGATTAGTCAATATATTAGCAAATATATGCGCGCGGAAGTGAATTACAGATGATTAAATTTCTAAAATTCTAGATACCTATAGACAAGTCAATATATTAGCAAATATATGCGCGCGGAAGTGAATTACAGATGATTAAATTTCTAAAATTCTAGATACCTATAGACACATGTCTTAGCTATCGCTTAGCTATAGGGGCAGCACCATCGAAACGCTTAACAAGCCGGGTATACGAAGTGTCTAGTCAGTGTATCCGTTAGTCTGTGCCGTCACTGCGTACACGTGCGTGCGTGCGTACGTACAGTACACGTGCAACGCAAAAATGTTACAGGTTTTTCAGGATTGTGAACCGGCCTCGTAAAAGCGAGGAACTATTGATGCGACGTTCGTTTCGTGTGTATTCTTGTCATGTGCACCCCGCAATTATGTATGTGTAACGACGCGGCAAATACATAGAGAGTTTCGGCGCAGGCGCGGCATACATTTCAAAATACAATCTTTACTCGAATCTTTTCCCAATTCTTAAAAAAAATTCAGCATGTAGTCCAGGGGCGGATCTAGGGGGGGGGTCCGAGGGTCCGGACCCCACTTAAATTTCAAAGTGCCCTAAAAAATAAAAAAACAATTTCTGCTAAAAATGTGGAATTCCATCTTACATTCTAGAGAACAAAATTACTCCTCAGATGCTCTCAGAATGCACCAATTTTAATTGGTCCCCCAATTACCCCCCTAAGTGGCGACGTGGCCTTCGGCAGCTTATTAAAACACCAGCAAAATCAAGCAGGAAAAAGTCCCCGTTATTTCTTCCTGGACACCCACTTTTCGAAAATCCTGGATCCGCCCCTGTAGTCGGATCCTGTTTCAAACATTAAAATGGCGGGCCGGTCACCATGGCTAAGCAACTTGAACGAATGGCAACACTAATATCACTTTCATCATGTTTTCTAGATGCATCATTCATCATGCATCTACCTTGCGTGTACAATGCAAGGTAGTGCATTCTAGTGCCGAACTTTATCGCAAAACTTTCAAAAGAAGGCTTACACAGACACGAAATAGTGCACAATGAACAATGGCGGAAGGATACTGTTGTAAGCCTATATATAACATATATAACACTTGACCGGTCCCCCAGTCGCCTATCCGATATACCTATGAATATACATAGCACCGTGGATATAGACGATGTGGCTGCCTTCTGTTAAGACCATTGCGCGGGGATTCTTATGTCTGGCTGTGGTTGTACTCGCGGCTATGTTACTCTACCAGGCGTCCCACGGTGAGTGCCAGCATCTGTTATCTATATGCAACGCGTTACAAGGTATACATGCATGTATGTACACATACTAGGTGCGCCATTACTCCATATATATGGATCGAAGCCCTTTGTAGAACGAGCAGCGAGGCATCATGCAGGGGGCCCTTAGAAAAAGTCATAAATATTTATTATGGTTTTGACAACAGCCCCCAAAGTTGCGCGTCAAAATGCGACTTTCAAGTTATACTTTCGAATTAAGAATAAGAGCACGTTCTAAGCCATTGACCAGTTAAAGCGATTATTGCGAGTTGTTTTCAGCATTTTTTAGTGTTTATTCTCACTCTCATGATGCCTACCGTTGTTGCTTGAGTAACAGTAATTGTTTGAAATAACAATAAATGTCGAAGACGGAGAGAGAAGTGGATCAAATCCTCGTTGCGTACCACCAGCGAGATTAATACTTATCACACACAAATAGATGCCCCTTTGTTTGAATTATGTTCGCTTGTTTGAGACGTCATTTGTGATTTTTGAAGGTCTTGACTCGAAAAAATGTATTGCTGGTATGATGTGGTCAAATCAATTTTTCTATGCTATAACTGCATAAAATATTGGTGTTTTGAATGTTGGTGTAATCAGTGATATTTACGCTGTCAGGTGAGACTATATTCAGCTATATTTTTTTTTCTCTGAGCAAAATTCTCGCAATGATCGTTTTAACAACGACTAGTCAAGCGCTTGTTTTTTACATGTACCTACATTGCGGAAATACATATGCGACTTTAGCCGAAACGCGGACTAACTCGCTCAACTTCGCAACAAAAAGTCGATAGTGAAAAACCAGCCGCAGGGTCCGGGCCTTTGCACGGAGTAGGCCCTACGTCTAAGTTTCCTTTTCTTCTCTGCTAGCACATATTACTGGTACCAGCCAGACTAATAAGTACGACCTGGCTTTTAATCAGCTGCTAAAGCCCCCGCAGCAGCCGCATCTGGCGCCATTGTCGAATGAAACAGAAAATTCGGTAAGTGCCTTATGTGTGCTATTCTACAAGCGATCATGGCAGTATAAATATTATATATATATTATATATATATTATATGTGTGTGTGTGTGTGTGGTATTTGTGGTGTGTTGTGTGAGTGTGTGTGTGTGTGTGTGTGTGTGTGGGTGTGGTGTTGTGTGTGTGTGTGTGCGCGCGCGGCGGGTGTGTGTGTTTTGTGTGCCTGTGTTTGTGTGTGCGTGTATGAATGTGTATGTTGTATGGTGTGTGCGTGGTGTACCTTGTGTGTGTTGCGTATGTGTTGTGCGCGCGTGGCGCGTGTGACGTGCAAATGCGGATATATGTGAATGTGTGCGGTATGTGTGTGTGGGGTAGGTGTATGTGTATGTATGTGTGTAATGTGTGTTGTGTGTATGGTGTGTGAGTGTGTGTGTGTGTGTGTGTGTGTGTGTGTTTTGTTTGGTGTGTATGTGTGATGTGGTGTGTGGTGTGTGTGTGTGTGTGTGTGTGTGTGTGTTGTGTGTTTTGTAATATGTGTGTGTGTGTGTGTGCGGCGCGGGTTTCCGTGCGTGTATGTATATGTTGTATATGTGTGCGTATGTGTCACTGTGTGTGGGCGTGTGTGCGTGCGGGCGTGCGGGCGTGCGTGCGTGCGTGCGTGCGTGCGTGTATTGTATTGTTGTGTGTGTGTTGTGTGTGTGCGTGTGCGTGCGTCGCGTGCGTGGCGTGCGTGTGCGCGCTGTGTATGTGTGTGCGTGCGTGGTGTGTGTGTGTGTGTGTGTGTGTGTGTAAACTGTAACTGGATAGGATCAGAAGTAGATAATAGGGAAGGAGTGTGACTTCAATAAACAAGGAAAATTCGTCATTTACTAGCCTTAGAATCCCTACGATTTACTACGCGTAACTTAACCAACTTAAGCTCAAATCGTACACAGTACATTCGCCTAGCATCGTGCGAAATCGTCTCCTCGTATACACCGGCAATCCGGAGATACAGACTAAAACGATTTTCCATTCTGTTGCCAGCAAACCGCATGTATAACCCGCCTAACTTGAAACAATAGGCCTCGGCGATGCGGTGTGGCTCGCTGGGAGATTGGAGCTGGAGCTGCTGCGTGGGATTAGCTCGCCGAGTGTTGTATTGTGTCGATGTCCAGCGAGCCACACCGCATCGCCGGAGGCACAAGAGTGCGCAAGAGTCGGGTTATACATTCGCTTTGCTGGCAACAGAATGGAGAATCGTGTCGTACGTTTTAGTCTGTATCTCCGGATTGCGAGTGTATACGAGGAAACGATTTCGCACGATGCTAGGCGAATGTACTGTGTACGATTTGAGTTCAAGTTGGATGAGTTACGCGTAGTAAATCGTAATCGTATTCTAAAGCTAGTAAATGACGAATTTCCCTTGTTTATTGAAGTCACACTCCTTCCCTATTATCTACTTCTGATCAAATGTTTGAGGTGTAATAACGTTGTAACTGGTTCACGTTTCACAACAAGATTTTTTACGAATGCTGTAAGTCTATTTCTGACCAAGCTCCATTGGATTTCGTCACACTATCATCGAGCGAAAACGACCCAATGTTATAACAATGTAAGATCACACTTGCAAAATTCGGCTTCGCAGACTCGTTATTATTTTCATACATAATCATATTGACATCGTCGCTACGTCTACATCGATAGAGTTTTCACGCAGATATTCGCCGACGAAGAAGAAGTATACAAGCAGCGCAAGAGGGCGCTGTACGCTGCTTGCATAACCGACAACAGAAGCGGCGAGGAAGACCATTACATGCATAGCGTTATAGCCGACGATAAGCATCGACTTCTGTACTGCACTGTACCGCGGGATGGCTCGCGAAATATGCTGCGCACGCTCGTAGCTCTGCGTGGCGACATGCCTCGGGCGCCGATCGACGTGCCAGCTAGCAGCGTGTACGCATCGCACGGTTTCCCCGTGCTCGGTGCCTACGCGCCCGGCAGGCGGCAGCACATGTTGCGAGAATACACGAAGTTGCTCGTCGTCCGCAACCCGTTCGAGCGCGTGCTGTCCGCATATAGCGTCTTTGCGACGCACGCGAAAGAGCTCAGCGAGGACAGCGCGCGCCTCTATACGCACTTCCGCCGCTACGTCGCTGAGCGCTACGGTCGCGGTGACGTCACGCAGAAGAGCGACGGTACGGCCAACGTGACGTTCGCCGCCTTCGTTCGCTACCTGACGGACCCGCGCACGCGCCGCGCCGACCCGCTCTCACTGACGTCCGACGGTTCGATGAACCCGCACTGGATACCCATCACGGAGCGCTGCGCGCCGTGCAGCGTGCGCTATGACGTCATCGTGCGGCTCGAAACATTCGCGAGGGAGAGCGGTTACCTGCTGCGGCGGTTGAACGCGAGCGGGCTGGTCGAGCCGCCGCCGCCGCAGCTGAGCTACAGTCCATCAAGCAGAGTTGCGAAGATGAGGCAGCATTACGCCGAGCTGAATGAGCTGGATGTGTTGAAGCTGCGGCGCCTGTACGAGCGCGACTTCAAACTTTTCCAGTATAACGACAGCCTAGATCTCTCGACGTAGTAGTACTGCCTATACGTGCATGCGTGCGTGCGCGCGTGCATGTACGCCACACACACACACGCACACACACACACACACACACACACACACACACACACACACACACACACACACACACACACACACACACACACACACACACACACGCATACACACAACACACGCACGCACGCGTACGTAATTATGTATTCACCTCTCGATATATATATATATTCCCCTAAGGGGATTAATAAGTTTTCCCTATTATCTACTTCTGATTCTATAAATATATAATACTAGCGATACCGGCGGCCGGGAAAATCAGTGTCTTACTCAGTGGTGACCGCATTGTTTGAAAGGAAAACCCCAAAAAATCTAACTAATCTAATCCTATCATGCAATCCATCCAATCCCATCCATGCCATTCGCCCACCGCAATCCCATCCCATCCCATTACCGATAGCGATCTGCGAGGGACATACCATGCCATTAGCCATGCCATCCCATCCATTCGCACCGCATCCCTATCCATCCCAGCAACCAGTCCCATCCCCATCGCATGACATCCATCTCACTCCCAATCCCAATCATGTAAAAAACAATCAAAGAAATCAAAGATAAAAAAACAAATTAAAATTAAAAATTAAAATAAAATTAAGAAAGTAAAAAATAATGCCATACAAAGAGGATAGGGTAACAATGAAAAAAATTGAAAAAATGGGAAAATAAGTTCCCCACTGGGACTCGAAACCCGGAATCCGGTTAGCGGAGAGCGGAGTCTTTTAAGCGATTATCCTACTTGCACTAAGGTCTATACACCATGATTACACGTACGTGATGTAGTTTTAATCTGAATAAAAAAATCAATGAATTTAGAACTATTATCAATTTTTAACTTTTTAAAATTTTGTTCAGCCATAACACTCCCACACGTCTGGATTCTTAGAAACATATCTTTATGTTTTCCTCTATAGCGGTTTGCCGCGCCTATATCTCCTATATGTTGACCCTGCCAATTTAATTACTTTTGAACTTTGTCATGGAAATGATTTAGTTCTATATAGTTAGGAGAGCCGATTTAGCTTTGCCGTTGCTACCTGTGCAACGGTTGGAGCATTTCTTGGAATTCTAAAGTATGGCGCCCCGTCGATCTTGCATCTTGGATCAATTTACAATTATGTGATCTTCGATGCCCTAGAGTGTCATGCCAATACCCGTTTTAGGTTTCGAGTGCAGCGAGTCCATTCGGATCGTATTTAAGATATGGGTCGCCGTCAATGTCTCAATGTCAAATGACTGGCTGAACGGTCAATAATAAGACACTTTTAAATGTAAATCACTGTTTCATAAGATCAGATATATATAGGCTGACAACTACCGACTTCGCAACCATTACAGACCAAATGGCGAATGAAAACACCACACCAATCGTCATGGCAGTGTCACCACATCCTGCCCGGCATCACGAACAGGAAACATTGGTGTCGATGCAGTTCACTATCCCCCGAGTCAAGAAACACGAGACCATTCTTCTCCAACTCATACCCAATCAGGCTATACACATGCAACCACCTACACAGACATTCAAACCGAATCCACCTCTGATGTCAATGAAATGCTACTGTCCGCAGAAGATCACGCTTCAATCCCCGCTGCAGTGATTTCAGTCAAGCATGCCAGACGCAGCTGCTGTCGCAAGTCCATTTGAGAGTACAAGCCTTCGTGGCGGCTCATATGTCTCAGCAAGACCGACTAGTGGCCCGGCTCTCCCATAAGCCCAGACACTGGGGTTTGCCGACCGATGCTCGATTCACCACACTAGCTCCACCCAGACCACGTCGTTCCTGGACTACCTCCTGTTATCTCCAGAGGACTCTCAAAACGTTTCGACGCATGCAGTACAATCCCACCTCGCTAGTTATCTCCAACTATATCAGAACGCATGCCTATGTCAATGGAAAGACCGCTCATCGCTGGACCAATCTTATACTTCACGCGGCCCATGATGCACACTCTCATGAGTTCCTGGGCTGTATAGCAGACACTGATGAAGGCCATCTGCTAGTGGACGTATCTCATAGCGCCACTAGCGTTTGGTGGCGTGACCAGCATCATCACGCGAAGACCTGAACAAATGCTCTACGGGCAATACCTCTCATCACGCCTTGCTGCCAGAGTTATCTACTCATTGTGCCAAGCATACAAGACATGAGTAAATCG